AACGATGGCAATCTGTTCCAATTGGAACGGATTAACCAGTTTTCAATTCATTCCTATGGGAAATGGTGTTTCACAGAACGAGGTTTCACACAAAGTTGATTTTTTTGGAACCAATTAACATCGTTGTGTGAGGCACCAGTGTATCAACAACCTCAGATATGCAGATGGCAGAAAGTGAGGAGGAATTAACGAACCTCTTAATGAGGGTGAAAGAGGAGAGGGAAAAAACCAGTCTGAAGCTCAAGATAAAAAAACTAAGATCACGGCCACTGGTCCCATCACCTCCTGGCAAAGAGAAGGGGAAGATATGGAGGCAGTGACAGATTTTACTTTCTTGGGATCACTGCAGAGGGTGACAGCAGCCACAAAATTCAAAGACGCCTGCTTCTGGGGAGGAAAGCGACGACAAACCTAGACAGCATCTTAAAAAGCAGAGACATAATCTTGCCAACAAAGGTCTGCATAGTCAACCCTATGGTTTTTCCAGTACTGATGTATGGAAGTGAGAGCTGGACTATAAAGAAGTCTAACCACTGAAGAATTGATGCTTTTGAATTGTGGTGCTGGAGGAGACTCTGGAGAGTCCCCTGGACTGCAAAGAGAGCAAACCTATCCATTTTGAATGAAATCAACCCTGAGTGCTCACTGGAAGGACAGATCCTGAAGCTGAGGCTCTAATACTGTACTTTGGCCACCTCATGAGAAGAGAAGACTCCCTGGAAAAGACCCTGATGTTAGGAAAGTGTGAGGGCAAGAGGAGAAGGGGACGACAGAGGATGAGATGGCTGGACAGTGTCATCAAAATTACCAACATGAATCTGACCCAACTCCGGGAGGCAGTAGAAGACAGGAGGGCCTGGCGTGCTCTGGTCCATGGGGTCACGAAGAGTCGGACATGACTAAACAACTAAACAACAACAACATGTGAATTAAATAGCTTTTGTCAGGTAAGGCAGAACACTTCAAAAGAAATAATTTCCACTTTACTATCACTTATTATTGCTACTGCTTTGCTCAGCCCTTCTGCCTTTTGCTCCTTACCACCCATCTCCAACTTGCAACTTATGGAGAGCTTTTGGGATTTAACAACCTAATCTTAAGCAATTAGGTTGACCAAAACCTGAAGTGAGGAATCTTTGACCCCTCCCCTGAGTCTAATGTCAAATGGTCTTCAGTGTCATCCAGCTCTCAAAATTCTGCAAGACCACTCTTGCTCTCCAGACCATTCTATTGGGAACTGCTTCCTTGTCTGATTTATGTGTGCACAGAAAGAAAGAGGAAGGAAGGTGTGGGAGGAAGCCAAACATTCTTTTCTGCCCCCCACCCTGCTTTAATGTCTGTCTTTCCCTTCTCCACTCCTACTGTTATGCAGAGCTCTCCTTTGTAATTTGCCTAGTTTCCTACGTGCATGTTTCAGGAAAGTACCGCCAAACAAACACAAGGAAAAACCTCAAGGAAGGTGCTGGGAAGGGCTATTCTGAAGCATCAGGATTTCCTTCAGTTTGTCTGTATCTGTTTTCTTATTACCAAACAGGAATATATGGCTTTAGAGGTGTTTTCCTTACTAACACAGTCACCCAATCCTTCTGCTTTTAAAAATAAAATGCTGTCAGGACCTGCACAGTGCACCCAATCCTCTTTGAGGCCAGAAGACATGCAGAGCTACCTCCTGTGTAAACATGCAAAGGTCTGCAGTCGGAAGGAACAAACTAAAGATGTAATCAGATGGTGATCTGATTGCACTGGAAAGATTCACTTTGTTAGGAGTGCATGTCCTTTTTAGAGCAACCCTTCTGTGCATACAGCAATCACTCCAGTCCAGTTTCAAAAAAGAGCAGCACTGTAATTGGACCAAAAAGATGCAGACTCAACATAGATCAGGGATGGGCTGGTTTGTGATTTCCTTCCCATCATTTGACTGTCAGAAAATCTCTCACAAGCAGTCCACAATGCTAGCTATTTCTCCAATGATCTCACCCAAAGACAGGAATTGGTATGCGTCTGATACTGAGAAAAGAAGTGTGAAACAGTGACTAGTGTCACACTAGAGGTGATGCAAATTTTCTCTCCATAAAGAAAGCCAGTGGGTAGGTGTAGTGGATAGAGCAATGGACTAGGATTGAAGAGATCTGAGTTCAAATCCTCACTCAGCCATGGAAACTCAACAGGGGTGTGGCACTGGTTAAACCAGCTCCTTAAAAATCTCACCTTGAAAACTATACTGTATTGGGGTTGCTATAAGTCCAATGAGACTTCACAGCACATAACACATAGGACAGGTGACCTCAGGCTAGCTGCCTGCACTCACACTAATCTACTTCACATAAGAGAAAGGCCATGTATGATGTCCTGTCCTCACTGAAGGAAAAGGAGAATCGCAAACAAGAATAAACTTCTGTGTGACATCTCTCTCTCACACACACACACACATACCGTAAACTGATGTTTAGCAACACCCACACACTTTCCGGCTCCAGCCTTGGAGAGAATTTTAAACACATAACCAACCCAGTGATCAAGGAGGGTCTCTAAAACATGTATAGCTTCAGCTAGTGATGTCATTCATCCTTGTCTCTGGGATTATGTACAAAGACCACACTGCTTCTTGTTGTTGTTTTTTTGAAGAACTTTTTTGTCGGTCTTTAGTGATGCCTGCAATCCCGCGCAAACTTATTTGGGAGGAAACCCCATTCATTAGTGCAAGACTTACTTGCCAGCTCCCAGCGGCGCCAGAAGCGCAGCCTCGACCATTGCAAACCACTTTCTCCTTACTGCCCGTTCACGTATTTAGCTAAAATATCTTCCTCGTCGAGGTCCCAGTGAAACAACGCGCGGCGCGCAAAGCCTCCCAGCGCGTCATGGGAAGCGGACAGACGCCGCGCATGCGCACAGCTACTTACTCGCTACTTCGCGAAGCCAAACGGCTCCGCTAGCGTCGCTTACCTTTCGCAATAGCGTGGGCCGGTGATGACCCGAGCGAATCCCGTTTCTTAGTGCCGCTGCCAGAAAGCGTCGGCTCCCCAATTTTATTTGGACTCCCAATCGCGGACCCCGCGCTTGTCATCGCGCTCCCACTTCCAACGACTACCGCACCGGGGCGGTCTATGGGCTATAATCGCGCATGCGCAGGTGCCGTTATGCCAGAGGGGGGGAAAGGGAGGTGTATGTGGAAGGCGCATGCGCAGGGCTGCTCTTTCGGTTTGTGAGGAACCGTGCGGAACCTCGGGCTGGGAGAGTTAGACGTTTGTGTGAACGTTGCCTGCCTCGGTCAAAATTCTTAGCATAGGAAGTTGCTTGGGATCAAAAATCTGAAAGGGACCTGCCTCCACCGTCTTTGAAAACGAGAGATGGGGAAGTCAGTAGAAAAGGGTTAGTTCACAGTTGTTGCTCTCCTAACTTCCATCTGTCGAGAAAACCGGTCCTACTGTCTGGATTTGTGAAGGGACAGCCTCAGGAAGTGTCAGATCCTGGTATAGACTTCATTAGGACAGAGCTACTGACGTCGCAGGAGGACCTAGGTTAGACTTGAGTAGGGTTGCCAGGTACATGATGTAGCGTTCACCCTAAATTATGTAATAAAGCAAAGCTTTATTACATAATAATGTATGCTAATATGCTAATACGGTTAAAAGGTGGGGTCTGAGAGAGGAGGAGTCAGAGTGAGTTAGGAATCAGAGAGAGAGTATAGTCTGAGGAGTGATTATTCAGAGTGTAAACTGTGATAATTACTATAGAAGGTTAATATTGAAGCTTGATGAAACTTGAAGAATGTGCTTTTGAATTGTTCCAGAAACCAACTGTAATCAAACCTGTTCTTTTAAAAAGTCAGTACTGACGGGACCTTCATCTTTTCTAAGTAAGTTGATAATGAGATCAACTGGTGGCAGCCTGCAGACACACACACAAGCTCACTCCAAAGCAGGAGGCTCTCCCAAGCCTCTAACTGCGACACACCCTATAACTGCCAAAAGAGCTACAGCACAAAGCACCAAGAAACAGTCATGTTAAAAAATAAATTCAATGGAGGCTTTTTTTTTTCAAAATACAAAAAAAAATTATTTAAACAGCCAATTGTACCTGAACTCACCCCGTCCCAGCTGCGGGATCCCCCTGCTCTCACCCTGCACAGGCTCAGAGGCAACCTTGCTAATCTGGGTGCCCAAACAAGGCACAGGCAGGGGGAAAGTGGCGCCGGGCAAAGCTGAACGAGACAGCCTCCCCTCATACGTTCATATGTTCAGGGTCATATGTTCAAGGCTGGGGAGTGTGGGAGTTGGAGTCTCTGAACACATAGTCTGGACACTCACCTTCCCATTGATGCATTCAGGCGCTGCTTGCTCCTGCCTGGCTCGGTGGGCGGTGCTCCGCTCGCGGTGTGTTTCTGGGCTCCATGTGGGCTGGGCAGGCATGGCGGATCACCAAGCAGTGGCACCACAGCGGGAGGGTGCAAGGGCTTTACTCTGGCACCGGCGGGAGGTAACAAGGGGCGGATGGGTTGCTGGGGGCAGGGAAAGGCAGGGGGGTTCTTCCACCTCACCCCATCCTATCCAAAATTATAACATAAAATATACAAAAGCCTGACATTTTAAAGGTTTTTATCTTTGCCTGCCAGACAGAGGACAATAGGCTAAAAGAACATGTCCTCCTTTTGCTGGGCATCTGGCAACCCTAGACTTGAGTAACCAGATGTTGAAGAAGCTGTATTCTCTCTGCCAAAACAAGTGGATTGTCTGCCAAAACATCTGTCATCTGTCTGCCAAAACTGATCATGAACTGTTAATATCCAGCATTAGAATAAACCTGAAAATCTAGAAGAATTATAGTACCAAAATAGAACTTAAAATAATATTCCAGATGAATTTAAAGCGAACCAGAAGAACTGTAGATTGAAACCAGAGATATTATTAAGGAAGCATGCAAAAAGACAATTCCTATGGATGAGGGAAGAAACACTTAAATTTATAAAGGACAGGTAAGAAGCAAAAGTGAAAGATGAAAAAAATAGGGTCAGAACGCTGAATGCAGTTTTCCATGACTCGCATAGAGACAAATAACAATAACAAGTGCGTAGTAATAGAGAACAATAGAGCACAGCCAAATTCCAGGAGCACAGCCCCGCACAGCCAAATTCTGGGAGGTAGTGGAAGACAGGAGGGCCTGGCGTGCTCTGGTCCATGGGGTCACAAAGAGTTGGACATGACTTAATGACTAAACAACAACAACCCTGCACAGATAGACATAACGAGGCTCTGGCCCCCCGGGGGCCAGACTGTCCACTCACCCTTCTGCTGCTGCTGTGGGCTCCATGCTTCCTATCACACCGGAGCGCCTGGTTGGCGAGCCACTCTTTGACCTGGCACGGAGGCTCGTCCCACCTCCTGCCAGGAGTGGTTAGTTGACCGCAAGCTCCAGAGCAATAGGAAGGGAGCGCAGAGCCCGGGGCAGTAGTGGAAGGGTGATTGGAAGTCTGGCCTCAGGGAGCTGGACCCTTGTTGTGTCCACCTGTGCAGGGGTATTCAAATACGAATACCCCCTTCACTAGAGAAAAACAAAGGGGAAAAAACAAGAGATCTGTTTCAGAAGATCTGAGAAGTCAAAAGAAAGTTTAAGCCTAGATTACGGATGCTGAATGACAACAGGTAAGTGCACTATCTGATCAGGAGAAAATAAAGACGGAAACAGTATTCTAAAGACTTATAAAGAAGAGATTTAAAAGATGACAAATTTCTTTGGAGAGGAATCAATCCTATGATGAAGAACTTGGCAGTTCTAGAAGGTGAGGTTTGCTGCTCTGAAAACACTAGGAAGAAACAAATCAGTAGGGGTAGATGAAAATTGGAGATATTAGAGGAAAAGTTGAACTATTTAAAATCTTAAAGGATGATGCTGTTAAGGTGCTACATTAAATATGCCAACAAGTTTGGAAAACTCAACAGTGGCCAGAGGACTGGAAAAGATCAGTCTACATCCCAATACCAAAGAAGGGCAGTGCCAAAGAATGCTCCAACTACCGGACAATTGCACTCATCTCACACGCCAGCAAGGTTATGCTCAAAATCATACAAGGTAGGCTTCAGCAGTATGTGGACCGAGAACTCCCAGAAGTACAAGCGGGATTCCGAAGGGGCAGAGGAACTCGAGACCAAATTGCCAACATGCGCTGGATTATGGAGAAAGCCAGAGAGTTCCAGAAAAACATCTACTTCTGCTTCATTGACTATGCAAAAGCCTTTGACTGTGTGGACCACAGCAAACTATGGCAAGTCCTAAAAGAAATGGGCATGCCTGACCACCTTATCC